CCTGGGGAGGGCTGGGGGTGGCAGGCAGCCTCCCCTGCCCTCCCTGCCTTGGCTTGCTGCAGAGGCTACAGGTGCCAGCTGCTGTGATGGCCGAGTGGTGAAGGCGTTGGACTTGAAATCCAATAGGGTATCCCTGCGCAGGTTCAAATCCTGCTCACAGCGGCAGCTTTTACTGGCAGCCCGTGCCCACGCATCCCCGGGGTGGGAGGATGGACACCCACCTGTCGAGGCTCATAAGGATGGTTTGGTGGTGGTGTGCACTGGCTCGGCGGTCTGCTCGGATGATCCCTAGGACCAGTTTCTAAATTTCTAGCTGAGCTCTTCCCTTTAGGAAGGCTGAGACAGGCAGTTGGTATGAAATGATGCTCAAATGTTTGCAACATGACACGTACTTGTCCTTATCCATATTTGTCCTTATCCATGCCTATCCTTGTGCTCTGCACCCATAACCCTTTTCTGCAGAGAAGATCCAGCCTGATGGCATCTGGGGGCTGTCATCCACACACATACACTTTGTCCTATTCTAGGGACATTTCTGCTTGCTAGAGCTGATCACCTGAGCTGACCAAGAGAGCTGCTCTTGACCCTGGGGCAGGGTTGTCCTACTTTGAAGAAAAGGGCTTGGAGCATCTATGGAGATGAGAAATTGGCTGGAAATTGAACCCAGGCTGCAGCAGTGGGAGTGCAGAATCCTGACCACTAGACCACCAGGGATGAGGTGAGTGTTCACCTGGTGATGCCAACAGCAAGTCTCCACAGGGAGAGACCACCCATGACCTCGATGCCCCAAGAGAAAAAAAAAAAAAACATCTGGAATGGACTCTACAGACTTCCTGGGGGACTCTGCAGGGAATCCTAGTCCTTTCTGTGAGTAATGACACGGGACCAACCCTCTTCCCAAGGGACCTGTCCCCACCAGATCCAGGAAGCAAAAACTGTCTATGCAGAGACTTTGATCAAGRCCAAAACCAGTTTTATGTCAGGAAATGGTGACCAATGATTCAAGTGGAAAACTAGAAGTCCCTAGGGGTTCACTGGAGAGATGTGGCCACACATCTCACTGGCTACAGACAACTGAGCTTCATGGCTCCTAATGCCATGGTACAAGGACAAGGATCTGGGCTTTTGGTGTCTGCTAATCCCCTAGAATGAAGTCAGACAAGATGCTATGGAAAATGTGGGTCTGTAACTTCTTTGATTCCATCTTTTCTGCTAAGAGCAGCCGTCAAGAATCCCAGACTGTGGAGGCAAGGAAGAAAATGGATAAATGAAGACTTTCCCTTGATGGAGGAGGATCAGCTTAGAGATCATTTAGGCAAAAAACATCCATAAGCCCCTTTGGGTGTCACACTTGTCATGCAAGTATTTGCATGCAGAATCTCAATGTTAGTCAAAAACAATGTCTTTTATGATTAGTCAGGATTGGTCTGACAAAAGGACTAGGCAATAGGTAAGCATGATGTTCTGAGTTATGGTGCCAAGCGGCACTCTGGCTACTTTCAGTCTTTCTGAAGTCCAGGTCTAGCTGTTCACCAGAAACGTGTGTGTGTTTGTGTGTGCACATGTGTGCATGAGGGATAACAGTCAGTCCCGAACCTTCCTCAGGCACATGAGATGGCAGGCTCTGTGTGAGTGATATCTCAGATGCAGCCAAGATACACCACAAGCTTCCTGGCTCCTAATGCCATGGTACAAGGACCCAAACGCTTGGTGTTAGACAGGGCTCTCTACTAATTCCCTAGAACGAAGCAAAACAAGGTGTCTGATATCACCYGCTGCTGGGTTGTTGACCCTGATGTTTGCACATGGGTCCTTGGAGCTTTCCTTAGTTTTGATTTCCCTTTTCTTTTCCATTCCAGTTCAAACCCATTTCTCTCAATGCAGCTACACTGCTAAACTGAATACTTTATCCTCACTTGCAAGACTGAGCACTCAGACGCACATCTAACCTGATGGCAAGGTTTGAGTTCCCTTTCACGCACTCAGCTCCTCTCCATTCTTCTCTATATGCAGTCTTGTCTCCCCTGTTCACTCCATGGTGATTCCAGCTGCTATTCCAGTCTCCACTGTGTGCACTCAGACCTCTTCTGTTCCCCTTTCTGCATGCTCAGATCTCTTTCTTTTCCCTCCATGAGTTCTCTTATCCCCTCCATTACTCTATCTGCATTCTACGATCCCTGCCATTGACTACTCCAAAATTAGAATTAGGAAAATGACATGCAGTGGATAGTATTCATCCTTTCACTCTAAAAATACATTTTTCCCCCTCAGTTTGCATTGTTTAAGATGTAGATGATGAAACAAAGAACTCCAGTATCATTTCCTACAGAAGAGGGCAGGTGACCTGGCAAGTGGCCCTTGGCACTGAGGGTTACCACCTGCCTCAGAGCAGGTCTTACCCCCCAAGCTCTTTCAGAGAGAGGCTTGGAGTGCATGGGAGGTTGCCYCAAGCGTGAGGGCACTGCCTGGGGCATACAACGTTCCTTCCCACCTCTGTGAGAGTTTCCTTCTCCCTGTGGGCAAGCCAGTGACAATCAATCACATGGTCCCAATGGTGGTGTCCTGTTTCTCTCCCCTGTTGCTGTACCAGAAAGCCAGTGACATTTCCATTAGCTCTACTTGCACTTCTAAAACCACAGCTCCAAGTATTTGGTGCAGAGTCCACTGCTTCTGTTGCAAAAACCTGCACTGAGCTGGACTCACAGAGCAGACTCTGAATGTGGGTTGCGCAGTGCTCTCAGGAGATGCCTGATATAGGGGTTGTTCATCCCTTGAGGATGTCAAGGCAGAAAGAGCTGTGCTGGAATGAGCTGCAAGCAGCCTGTGTTTGCACAAAGATCAAAGATAACCAGATATCATGGTTTCGGTACCTACACAAGCTCTAAGAGTGTGTGAGCTAGGGCAATGTTGCGGCTGAGAAAGCATCACTATATCTCTGTGGTTTCTTAGATCTCCATCTTGGTCTGTAGGATATTTTGTCTCAGGCAATAGCAGTTGCTGCCTTCACCCACAGACCGTGTAACAGGTTCCCTCGCAGTGTCAAAACTGGACATGATCTCTGGCTSTAATGCCAGCATCAGGGAGGGGAGGTGAACAATTGCCAGAACACACAGAAGGGTGATGCAGCCCAGACAGGTYCGTGTTGGACAGCAGGAGCAAGCCGTGGTGACGGATGGGGCTGTGCATGTTTGTGCTAGGCTTATAACGGCCAGCCTCGTGGCTGTTTGTGCACACGGAGATGTCAGTGCATCCATGGCAGTGTGCTTGCAGGCATGGAAGGTGGATGGGCTTTCATCCCTGGCAAAAGATCCACCTGCAAGCACCAAAACCACCAAAATGCACCAGAAAGATGAGCACCTGTGAGCGTGCTGCTCCAAAATGTTTGGGACATCGTGTTTGGGACAACGCCGCACTGCCAGGCACAGCTGCTCCCTGCTCTGTGTCACTCAGCCTGCAGCTCCAGGCCATTCACGGAACCAGAAGTCCTCAGAGCTGGCACAGACCTCACAGCCCTTTCTCAGGAGAAATCTGCTGGGGACAAAAGCTCTACAAGCTGGGCAAGGAAGGACYGGGGCCTTGCAGCTCTGCTCCTGCTGAGCCAGCCCTGCCCGTGCGCTGCTAGACCCAGTCGAGTGTGGGGGTCTCCCSCACGCACGCAGAGCTTGCACCAACCTGGACAATCCCTGGCTGCACCCGTGGCCCCCATGGTCCTGTGCCTACCAGGCCATGGGCAGCAGCCTGGGCCCAGCTCAGCACCAGCTCTTGTCTTGAGGACTTTTCCAGCAGTTCCTTTGCAGTCCCRCAGGGATAGCTCCTGYCCTTGCCTCGGGAAGGGCATTTGGGAAACCCTCAGGCTCTTGTCAAGAGCCAGTGGGGTCCCACAGCCCTCAACTGGCACAGCCTTGCTGGCCTGACATCTCTGTCCAGAGTGCCAGGGCTCTCCTACAGCACCCCATTCCTCCCTGCCCTTGGACAGGGCACAGGGAGGGAGATTTTCTCGGGGGAGGCCTCCTCCGCTGGCAGTGAGTGCCCCACAACACAGGCTCTCAGCGCTTGTGTCAGTGCGCGTCCCTCTCCGTTGCCAGGTCAGGAGGAGATCCCGTGGGCAGCAGCTCTCCAGCTCTGCTTCTTCATCCCACCCCACGCTAAACCCATAACAGCACTTGTGTTTGCACCACATCTCTATAAGAAGACAGTATTTCTAATTTCTGACTAGCAAGCCAAATCTCCCAAGCAGGGAGGGCAGGGAGGACAGCTCCAAGGGCTGTCTTTTCTTTGGCTCCTTCTAGTGGAATTGCRAGGCCATGAACTCCGTTTGGAGAGCTGTGTTTCCAGAGTTCCTACCAAGAGTCCCTGAGGGCAGCAGTCATCCTCACTGCCTCTGCACACCAGAAGCAGAGGTCAGACTGTGCCCGCTGCCCGCGCTGCCCTCCTGCCCCCAATGTGTGTCCCCGAGCCACCATGGCCCTGGGCTGCCATGCGCTCCTGTGGCTGCTGTCCCCAAGACATATCCATTCTCCAARAGAGACACTATCAGTTGTGGGCCATGTTGTCTCAAAGTCAAATGCTTGTGTCCCAGGGCCTTAGAAAAGGCATTGAGTTGGGGTCCTCTTGGCTCCAACTTTGCCAGAACTGAATCTTTTTAGGGCTGCTCTCGTGCTAGTGAATATAACTTGGGACCTGCTGCACAAGGACTGTCTCACATCCTGTCTTGGTCACTATAGCCCTGACCTGCTTGCTGATTTGTTCAGACTTATCTCACTGCTCACAAGGTCTATTCTGGTATTTCCTAGACCTGTGGCTTCCTTTTTTTTTCAGTGTCTCTGAGGCAAAGGTGCCATGACATCAGCTACGTGACGCATTGGAAAACCCAAGTGCTTGCCTTGAAATCTAACTGTCAGGGCAGGGTAGCATCCCTATAAAAAGCAAGGACTGTCCAGACACCTAGCATCAGACACAGAAGGAATCTGCTCTGCTCTTGAAGCTCATCCCTGCCCATAATGACTCCTTCTTCAGTATCCCTCTCTATCCTCCTCGTTGCTGCCCTCTTTTCTCAAGCCTCTTCAGGTCCATGTGAGTATATTTTTTCTCTCTCTTCTTCTAGGGGTAATTTTTTTTCTGATTGACAGTAATCTTGGAACAGAGCTAGAAGAGATCATCTGCAAAGGTTGAAAACTTGAGTACATGGCTTTTTCCTCCTTTTCTGGGACTAATTTACCCTTCTAGCTTCCCTTTCTCTGGAGGACATGTTGAATTTTACCTTGTAAATACCAAAGTTTTTGCCTTGATCTCCTCTGATTTTGTCGATTGGCTTTAAGAATGATCCCAGGATGACTGATGGGTTTTTTACCATTGCAAGTGAGGAGGGGAGGGTTACGGAAAGGTTAGCAAGATACCATAGCAATAAGGTTAATTAAGCTTTGGTGTTCACTGTAATTTCTTGTCATTCTGGGGAAACAGGCTCCTTCTGGAAAGAGAAGGGGACTCCACAGTTAATTTCAGGGTATTTTTCCCTAAGCATCTTGTAGGGCATGTGCTGGCTATCTCCTTGCCATGAGTGCTCGGCATGCTTACCTTCTCAATCCCTTGCAGATGGTGCTGACACCACTGTGTGTTGCTTCAGCTACACTCTACGGAAGCTCCCCCAGAATCATGTGAAGGAGTATTTCTACACCAGCAGCAAGTGTCCACAGCCAGCAGTTGTGTAAGTGCTGGCTCCTGCCCTGGGCTATGGATGAAAGGCTCTGTCATCCTTTGGATTCTACTCCAAAGTCGCTTCAAGTACCCCAGTGCTAGGAGTTGGGAAGTGTGGGGAACCATGTCTGGGATAAGGAAAGGGGGCAGCCAGCCCAGGTGTCCTGCAMAGCACATGAGCTTTCCTCCCTGACTGAGAAACAAGAGCATTCTGGTGCTAGAATAAGGAGTGGAAGAAAGGYGGCCAGCAGAACCTCTGATGCTGGGTGTCTGCACCTCTGAGCAGGACCTCCTTGTGGCCACAAGCCCAATGCAAACGGTTTTCTAGATTTTCTAGATTTGCTGAGGAGTACTGAGGCCAGCAGATGCTGGCTCCAGAAACCCTACCAGTTCCACACTGCATGAAGGCTCCCCTGCACACTGGACCAGGGCAGGAATGTTTGAGCACTTGTCGTTTCTTCCAAGACACCTTGAACTCTTCCTGCTGACTGGGTTTTAGCAGACCTCTGTGAGCTTGAGGAAAGGATTTGGGCAATGGGAGTGAAAAGGAGTGATGGTCCCTTCAGGAGCTTGGCTCAGCAGTGCTGAGCTCCATAGCTGGGTAAGTTAGGGGCACCCAAGGGCATGGCTGCCACTTCATCAGGTACCTTTCCCTCTCTGGGTCTGTAACAGCCTTCTGCCTCTTGTCACAGGTTCGTCACCAGGAAGGACCGGCAGCTCTGTGCTAATCCTGATGCCAGGTGGGTGAAGGAATATGTGAACTTCCTGGAGCTTCAGTGAGGACTGGGAGYGGAGAGAAGCCCATCGCTGAAAGTCCTACAAGATTATCCAGCAAAATCATCTCTCAGGCCTAGAAATGCTGCTGCTGAGCACTAAGGCCAAAAGCCACCTCAGTGCCATTGAAGTTCCTTTTGTCCTGCCAAGACATGGTTTCTCCAYTGCAATTCAGCCACCCGTATGGGCAGCTGCAATGCTGGGGACCTCCTGGCCRTGCAGAGCCACTTTGTCAGCCTGTTGTGTGACCTGGGGTGAAACTCTGTCCCTTCCTTGTGCTTCTGATGCCACAAGGGGAGAGGAACGTTTATCTTGAAAACTATTTGTGAAAAGTGGCTTGTTAAAGTTAGATAGGAACGCTGTTACGTGAAGCCAGACTGACATCGCAGTCAGCAGCTAAATTTCACCACGTGTGATAGATGCTGTCAGCGAGGTCTGTGCCTTCAATGGAGGAATTGCTACGCTGACTGTTCACTAGATTTGTGCTCTGGAACCGCCTTGTTCAGCCTTGTTGTCCAAATGTTGTCTCTTGCTGGTGCCGTAGAATAAAGATTACCATCTCTCTGTGTCACATGGATCAGAGGCTGCTCACCTCCTATCCAACCCTAGATGAGGTCAGGGAACACTTGGTCCCTTGTAGGGGGTGGGATGTGRAGAGTCCCTTCTGCTACGTAGGCCAATATCTGCACATCTTGGYGCTGATACTGAAGGGATGGGTGAGATAGGATGAACACCAACCACTCAGGGAGAGGTAAGGGAAGAACCCTGGCTCTTCATCTAGAAATTCCTCAGCCTCCCTATCCCACAAAATCTTCCCTCCTGCATGACCTCCTCGCTCCCCAGCGTCGCGACAGAGGCAACACACTGCCCCAGCATCTCCTGGGGTCCAGGCAATGCATCTGTACTGCAACCCCCCAGTCCCCGCTCTGATAYCCCCTGACCCCTTCACCAGCCCTTTTCCCTTCTGTCTTGTCAACAATGAAGGCCACGAGCCCATGAGACCAAGACTCCTGGGCCCACCAAGGCCGCAGGAGCAGCAAAGGGATGTGTGTGGAGATGCTGCCTGAACAACTGGAGGCTGCACRTCCCATCGAGGGTCTCACCTCATGGTGAGGTCAGTCACAGAACCAGGGGTTCAGCTATTTTACAGGGGAGAGCAAGGGAGAGCTGCTCTGGGGGCTGCCTGACGAGAAACACTTTGGGAATCACTAGGCACTGAGCGCGGATGGGAAGGTCTCCGGTGTTATCTCCAAGGAAGGTTCTCCAGAGTGGGGCAGCCAGCATTGCCATGCCCAGCACTGGCTCCTCCAGAGATCGGGTGCAAGCTGTGTTCTTCTCAGGTTCTGTTGGTATCTTACTGTGAAATACGGGCAACAATTAATTACCCCTTTCCWAACTGTGTTGCATTGTGTTTGGAAGGAAATCTGAATTTGGTTTTTAAAAAAGTGTATRTATTTCATATAAAATGCACATTTTACCAAGTACAGCAAAACCTTTTAAACCAGATCACGTCTCTGTGGGTAGTGAATTAAATCTTTGCAGAGCATGAGGGCACAGGAAAGCTCTCAATGCCCAGCGCAAGAGCAGCCTGGGTGCAGGGAAGGGATGGCCATGCCGCAAGGCCAAGGCAACAAGGAGCCTCKGCTTTGCAGCCCGGGCAGACCCCAGCTCTCCAAACTGACCTTCCTGCTGGAGAGCAGGCTGGGCTCTGGCAGCGAGGCCAGCAGAGGGAGCACCATGATGTCCATCCAYGCGTCCATGGCAAGAGCAGGTGTGATAGCCCCAGAGCCCCTGCATCCCTGCATCCTGGCCGGGCTTCCACCTTCATGGGGTGCAGGTATCCAGGGGTCTACCTCCCGGTGACCGAGGGGCCTGGAGACGGCCCCACATCCTGAGTGACAAGTCAGCAGAGGGGTTGTCCCTGGGGATGGGGAGGTGCCTGGGGATGGGGAGCAAAGCCGCAGGGAGAGGGGAGTCGCATGCTGTGGGATGGGTGCAGGACACCCTGTGGGGTGGGGAGGTATGGAGGAGGCACAAAGGAGAAAGACACAGACACCATTGCAGATAATTTCTTGATACAGGTGGTTGAGGAGCCGACAAGGGGAGACCTGATACTAACAAACAGAGATGGTCTAGTGGGAAATGTGAGGGTTGGGGGCAGTCTGGGCCAAAGCCCGGGTGGAATTAGAGTTGGCAAGGCATGTCAGGGACAACAGGAAGGGTTTCTATAAGTATGTCAACAGCAAGAAGAAGACTAGGGAAAATGTTAGTGCACTGCTGAATGGRGAAGGGGCCTTGGTRACGAAGGATGCTGAGAAGGCAGAGTTACTAAAYGCCTTCTTTGCCTCTGTCTTTACTGCTAAGGTGACCCCCCATGAACTGCAGGGCTCAAGTGGAAGAGATGTAAATGGGCTAGAGGAAGACCTTCCACGGGTTGAGAAGGATTGGGCTGGGATCACTTAGGCAAACTGACCACTCAAAAATCTATGGGCCCAGATGTGCTGAGGGAACTGGCCGAGGTTATTGCTCAGCCTCTCTCCATCATCTTGGAGAGGTCCTAGAGAGCAGGGGAGGTGCCCGAGGACTGGAAGAGAGCCAACGTCACTCCAGTCTTCAAAAAGGGCAAGAGGGAGGAGCTGGGCAACTAGAGGCCGGTCAGCCTCACCTCCATCCCTGGAAAGGTGATGGAGCGGTTCATCCTAGAGAGAATCTCCAGGCATATGAAGGAGAAGAAGGTGTTAAGGAGCAGTCAGCATGGATTCACCAAGGGGAAGTCATGTCTAACGAACCTCATAGCCTTCTATGATGGGATGACTGGCTGGCTGGATGAGGGGAGAGCCRTGGATGTTATCTACCTTGACTTCAGCAAGGCTTTTGACACCATCTCCCATAATATCCTCATACRGAAGCTCTGGGAGTGTGGTCTGGATGAGTGCGCAGTGAGGTGGATTGAGGGCTGGTTGGATGGCAGAGCTCAGAGGGTGGTGATAAATGGGGCCGAGTCCAGTTGGAGGCCTGTGGCCAGTGGTGTCCCCCAGGGGTCAGTACTGGGCCCGGTGCTGTTCAACCTGTTCATCAATGACCTGGACGAGGGCACGGAATGCACCCTGAGCAAGTTTGCAGATGACACCAAGCTGGGTGGAGTGGCCGACACTCCGGAGGGCTGTGCTGCCATCCAGAGGGACCTGGACAGCATGGAGAGATGGGCAGAGAGGAACCTCATGAGGTTCAATAAGGACGAGTGCAGGGTCCTGCACCTGGGGAGGAATAACCCCAGGCACCAGTACAGATTAGGGGTCGACCTGCTGGAAAGCACCTCCACGGAGAGGGACCTGGGAGTCCTGGTTGACACTAAGTTAACCATGAGTCAGCAGTGTGCCCTCGTGGCCAAGAAGGCCAATGGGATCCTGGAGGACGTTGCCAGCAGGTCAAGGGAGGGGATCCTGCCCCTCTACTCAGCTCTGGTGAGGCCGCACCTGGAGTACTGGGTGCAGTTCTGGGCTCCCCAGTGTAAGAGGGACGTGGAGCTTCTCGAGAGGGTCCAGTGAAGAGCAACTAAGATGATTAAGGGAATGGAACATCTGTCGTACGAGAAGAGACTGAGTGAGCTGGGCCTGTTTTCTCTGSAGAAGAGAAGGCTCAGAGGGGATATGATTAACATGTATAAGTTCATGAAGGGAGAATGCAGGGAAGAAGGGGACAAGCTCTTCTCATAGGTGGCCAGTGATAGGAGAAGGGGAAATGGGCATAAGCTGAAACACAGGAAGTTCCATCTCCAGGTGAGAAGGAACTTCTTTGCTGTGAGGGTGACAGAGCAGTGGAACAGGCTGCCCAGGGAGGTTGTGGAGTCTCCTACTCTGGAGGTCTTCAAAACCCGCCTGGATGCCACCCTGTGCCACACGCTCTAGGTGTGCCTGCTTGAGCAGGAAGGTTGGACTAGATGATCTCTAGAGGTCCCTTCCAACCTTGAATATTCTGTGATTCTGTATTCTGTGATTCTGCAGGCCGTTGGGAGTGCAGGAATAGAGGAAAGAGGTAGAGGAGGGAGAAAGACAATGCAATGGAGGAAGGGCACTCCAGCAGCTAGGTCTGAGACAGGAAGAGTGATGACAAGTGAGCAGTTGCTCCCACACCAAGGCAGAGAGAAGAAGCTGTGGAGTGGAAGATGTCCCAGCTGAGAGGCAGAATGTCCCCAGTCAGACTGACCCACCTGCCCCACTCCTTCCAATGACCTCCACCTCTCCCATAGGCCTCAGGGAAGATTCGGAGTATCGTGAGAGGGCTCTGTGCACTCACGATGCAGCATTTGCAGCATCCTCTGTCACCTCCTCAGATGATAACTACCATGGAGTGAGCAGGAAAGACAGAGAAGCCCATGCACCAGGGAGGAGGCCCAGGCATGTCAGAGCTCCATGAAGGGCATGGAGACAGACTTTAGGACCAGAAACCTTAAGTCTTTCATGTCAGCATGAAATAATGTCTAGGGAACAAAGCTGAAAACTGCAGTTAATACATTAGTGCGTCCCTCCTTCACTTGAGGTATTTGAGGGATGACCCAAAGGCGACATCTGCGTGACACTGTGTCTGTCCACTTGCTCGTGCTGCCCGTGTGTCTGCCACATGCGAGACTGTGAATTCCCCTTGAGTTTCCAGAGCAGGGAGGTCCTCTGCTCCTGGCCAGCCCCGTCCCTGCGGGGCAGCACAGAGGGACAGTGCAGGGGCCCCGGGAGCCCTGGGATAGGCACGGGGAGCCCTGGGATGGGCACAGGGAGCGGGACRTGCAGGACCTGCCCGGACACGAGGAGGGCCCCGCAGAGCCCCCGTGTGTGACAGGAGCCCGGGGCAGGGGACCGCAGAGCCCCTTCAGAGCCAGCCTGGACGGACCGCTCCGCCAAGAGGTCCAGGAAGGAAACTGAAACCGCAGACTACATGAAGGGAATTTCCAAAGGATTCCTGGGCTCCCTGCCAGGGACTGTCCAGAAAGGAGCCCTGGGGCTCACTGAACTCCTGCTGCCTGCGCTCTGCACCCCAGGGTTTCACCATCAAGGCTATGGCAGCCCTGCTGGCTCCTTGTGTCCCACACAGTGCTCAGAGCTCCTGCTCAGGGACCAGCTGGGGCTCCTGCAGTTCCCCTATGGAACTTCTCAGGGGTCAGGAAACCGTGGGTTGTGCAGCGATGTGCAGCGTTCCAGCAGCACCGCTTGCTGGGCTCCTCGCCTGCCCGCCCGCGGCCGGCAGCTGCCCCATGGTGCAGGAGCCGCTCTCTGCTCCTGCCTTTCATGGCCCAGTAGGAAAGCCCTTCTCAGGATGCAGCTCCATGTGGACTTTCGTCCTCCCCCAGGACAGCAAGCCAAGCCAGGGGGCTGCTGGCAGGAGGATATTAGATTTTKCAGAAGTGCCAGCAGGGCTGTGGGACCCCGCTGGGGCTTGACAAGAGCCTGAGGGTTTCCCAAATGCCCTTCYYGAGGCAAGGACAGRAGCTATYCCTGCGGGACTGCAAAGGAACTGCTGGAAAAGCACTCGAGACTAGAGCTGGTTGGCCCAGGCTGGTGCCCATGGCCTGGTGGGCACAGGAGCGTGGGGGCCATGGTGCAGCCGGGGATTGTCCAGGTTGGTGCAAGCTCTGCGTGCTTGCAGGTGCTCCTGCATGAGACCCCCTTGACAAAGGGCTGCAAGGCACCAGTGCAAATGCTTGTTTGGGATCCTAATAAAAAAGGCACTTAGATTCCATAAGGTGTTCATTAGTATCTGCATGCAGAACAGAAGCTGTCTGCGATGAGGTCCTTCCTATGAGCTCAGCCTTGCTAATTTGGGGATATCTTCTCTTTGGTTTCCACAATCTGCTACCATGTTTACAACTAAGGGAAGGAGTCAACACAGATAAGCTACTGTGATGGGGAAAGATTGTGCCAGAAATATTCAAGGAGCAGAATTCTGAATTTCTGGATTTAGAAATGCTAAATTAGACYACCGGTTAACTCAATCACAACGTGAGCCTGTCCATCCCTTCAGTTTCAGTGTTTCAGCCTTGAAAAGGGTCCGTCCCTTCCAGGATATATGAAGCACATAGCAGTGCTRTGTGTAAGCAGCCCAAGGGAAGGGAGATCCGGAGCAATTCCCCCCGGTCCCCTGAGCCCCCAGCTGCAGAGTGCTGCAAGTTGGGAATCCACAGCCGGAGCAGCCCACCCTGCCAGCGGTGCCTGCGGCTGCACTCCCGTCTGGGAAAGCACAGGGCTCTGTGCATGACTACAGAGCAGTCATGGGACTAGGAGGAATCAAGGTGGTTTCCCGGACTTGTTTGTGCTATCTATCTACAGGAGAAAACGAAACACTTTTTTCATTAAGATGTAAAAATTCCATGTGGAGCGGAGAGGCTGCTGTGCAGACAGGAAACCTGCAAGATGACTTTGCCCCTGGATAACAGTTTTGCTGTGGACATTTCTCCTCAGTGCGCAGAAGCAGAGCAGGGCTAATGTCATCACAAGGCAACTGGCTAGACAAGATCTGCCCCATGCTGTGTTTTAATTGCTACCTAATCGATCCTCTTTGTGTTCCCATGCAAAGCTGTGTCCCAGGAATGAGCCAGAAGTGAGGTAGTTTGCCCATGGCTGTGCCAATCCATCGGCACAGCCAAACTCTTCCGTATATTTYATTGTCAGAGAAAGTGAGTAATAATTGCCCCACTGCAATGATTAAAAAGCAAGCCGGGCAACTTGCTCTTGGCATCAGGCGGCATTGCCGCAGCTCCCCGGTTTGGCTGGACACCCTGGAACCTCGGGGCAGACGCAACGTTTTGGAGGAGCAGATATATAGGAGGGAAGAGGGAAGAGTCGTTCCCTGGCCAGGGAACCAGCCCTGCTCCATCCCCATAGCGCTCCTGGCTCGAGGGCAGCGGGCAGCGCACGTGCTCCAGGAAGCTGCTGTGTCCTAGGGAAACCCAGCACAGCGGCAGCGTTTCCCRGTCCCTGCCTGTTGCTTGCCCTCCCTGAGAGGTTCTCCCTGTCCATGGTTATATTTTACCCCTTTTTCCTCACAGCGGTGAGTCTCTTCGCTGCCCCTGCATACCCAGGTTTGCAGGGGACCAGCCCAGGAGTGCAGAGCAGGCGAGCACATGGGACGTGCATGGTGGTGTGGAGCTTGCACATCCACAGGTGCATAAAGCCCGTGCACATGTATGAGCATGTGCGCTCTGCATGGAGGATGCAGCGCTGGGTGTGTAGGTACAAGGGCATGAGGTGTCTGAGGATATCTGTGTCTGTGGAGTGGAAATTTTATGGTTTTCCCTCAAACCATTTCACATCATCACATTCCACACAGCATGAGCAGGCTCTGTGTCAGGTTCTGTGTCTGTGCCAATGAATAATGCATAAAGAGGAAAAAAAAAAAAGAAGAAAAAAACAGAGCTTTTTTTTTTTTTTTTTCAAACTATTTATTCTCCAGTATCGTGATTTTACACATGCAGAGCTAGGCTCTACCATCATCAAGTGCTGAGAAACTGAGCCACCCTTCCATAAATAAGATCATACCCACAGGATAAAACACTGCCTATACAATATGATAATTTCTTAAATAACTTTAAATAAAGTAGCAGCAGCRGTGCAAGGGTGCTCCTGGGCCGCAGCAGGGCCGTGGGGCGGTGGTGGCCGCGGCACGGGCTGGGCTGTGCAAGCAGAGGGCACGTGGCAGCRCCCACGGCCAGGGCCTCTCAGGGGTCCCTTCCTGCAGTCACCGCAGAGCTGCACGTGGGTGACGTGGGCTCACACTGCCCCTTCCACCTCATCATCCTGCCCCATCGCAGGAGCTTGGGATAATGTGACTCGTTCGTGACAGCAGCTGCACTTGTGATCTTGCTCTTCTCAGTTACGCTTCGGGTTTCGCAGGTAAGTTTGGACCCAGGAGTCGTTGGGGTTGGCACAGACTGCGAGGCCTTTCTTGGTGACAAACCTGTGGAGCACGAATGAGAGCRGTTGAATTTCTCCTCAGACCTGGATCCCAGCAGAGCCAGTGGCTCCAGGGCACGGCAGGAGGTCCTCCGCTATTCCCTAARCTGATGCTGAAAACCAGTACCTGCCTGAGATTGCCTCTCTTCCCACAGTGCCTTCTCTAATCCCGCAGAAAATTCCTGCACACTTCAGAGTGCCCTGCACAAGCATCCTAGGAAATCCCTGCATAAGCATCACTGGGAGTCCCTGTGCAATCGCTCTTCCCTTGGGTTGCCCAGGGCCCTGCTTGCGGGTGGGGTGTCATTTAATCTGTTCCTGTGGACCCCCTCAACCGCAGCAGTGCTGCCAGCGCCGGGCGCCACAGGCAGCCGTCCACACAAGCACAACCAAGGAGTGTCCCCACTCCAGCCCCTTCTGCTGCACGCGGGAGGCAGAGCTGGGACTTACACAACGGCTGGCAGGGAGCAGTTGCTGCTGGTGCTGTAATGACGGGAGATGAGTTTCTTCGGGAGCTTGCGGGAGGCATAAGAGTAGCAGCAGTTTGGGAGGTCGGGTCCATCTGGAAGAGGCATGGAGAAGAGTGTGAGCACGTGCTAAGCTCTGGGCCAGAGCGGAGCTGGCAGGGAAGGGAGCAAGGAATAACTAGGGCCCAAAGGGATGTTGCAGATCATCTGATGCAACGCCAGCAGCAGAAGGGAAAGCACATGCTGGTCACTGCTCAGACCTTCACTTCCCACCTCCCCCAGCCCCAGGGCAGGAGACCGAGTCCCTAAGATTTAATCAGGAATAAGGATAAAGGCTCCGAGCTTCGGATAACTGGACAAATGAATAGGTTATGGATGGATGGGTGATTGGATGGATGGGTGATTGGATGGATGGATGGATGGATGGATGAACGGATGGACGGACGGACGGATGATCTCCTAAATCTAGACATTCTAAGTGTATTTGATCTCAATGCAGAGTGAAGAAAGTGAAAAAGACTGAAGCATTGCCAGGTAAGTAACAGGGAAGCTCTGTACAGAAATGGTAAAGAAGGCTCAAATCAGTTCTTCCTTCATAAATGCAAGAGTCAGGACTCACCTGGGGCAGAGAAAGTCTGGGAGCAAGAGGCAGCAATGAGAAGAGCAATAAGAACAGCCACAGAGACCTTCATCTTCCTCTCAGTCCAGGGCAATCACAGTGGGATGAGTAGCTCCAGCAGACACAGCTCAGACTGCAGTGTGCATCTGGATTCAGCTCCTTTTTAATAGGGAATCCTGGAGTCAGCAGGGAGAAGCCCAGGCGGAAATTCCAAAATGACGCCAGAAACTGTCACATAAGTGAAGCAGCAAAAGGCAAAAAAAGGAGGCAAAAAAAAGGGATACGGTTTAGATTTGAGCCAAGTATGTAGATTCAGCCAAGTCTGACTCAGCAGCTTAGTTTGATTTTATCAAATGAAAAGAAACCAAACAGGGCTAAGTGACACAGCCACATAAAAGAGAGCTCTTCAGCTAAACTACCCGAGGGATTTTCCCTGGCAGTTTGTATACAGAAAGGAAACGTTTGCTTACGGTGATGCAATCCTGGAAAACAAAAAGGGAAAACAGAAAAGGAAAAAGGAAAGGAAAAGAGAGAGAGAAAAAAAGGACAAGCAGGCTGTGCTCTCGTGCTGTTTGGTGCTAGCTGATTATCAGAGGTCTGCTAAACTTCAGTCCAAAGAGCTGAGTGCTGCCTGCACCGTGGGCTCTGTGCTCTTTCAAGCACTAGACCTCTACCAGTGCCACTATGCCTGGCTTAAGCAGAGTCATGGAGCTGCTGAAGCTGGAAGGCACCATAGGAGACTGTCTACTCCAAACTCCTATTGCTATTGACTCCTCAAAGTAGGGTCAGGTAGAACAGGCTTCCCAAGACCATGTCCTGATTTTGAATAAGGACTCCACAACCTCTCTGGTCAATTGATTCCAGTATTTGATCCACTTACGATAAAGAAGCTTTTTCTCATGCTTAAACAGGATTTCCTGTATTTCAATTCATCTCTGTTGCCTGTTGTCCTGGCCCTGACTATCACTAAGTGTCTGGCCACATCCTATTTATACCCTTCCTTCAGAGGCTTATACACACTGATACAACCCTCCCTGAGCCTTCTCCATGCTAAACAGTCCCAGTTCTCCCAATCTCTCTTCATATGAGAGATGCTCCCATACCTTCATCATCTCTGTGGCCTTTTGCTGGACTCACTCCAGTAAATTCATGTCACTCTCATGGTGTGAACTCTGCAGAAGCAGCCTCGCCAAARCTGAGTAGAAGGGAAGCATCATCCCCCTCGACCTGCTGGCAATGCTCTGCCTAATGCAGCCCGGGATGCTGTTGGGGCCTTTGCCACGAGGGTGCATTGCTGGCCCCAGTTCAACTTGCCATCCACCAGGACCTCATGGGTCCTTTTCCTGCAAAGCTGCTTTTGGGATGTTTAGTCCTCAGCTTGTACTGATGCAAGGGACCATTCTTCCCCAGGTGCAGATTTTGCATTTCTCTTTATTGTACCTCATGAGTTTCCTCTCAAGCTGATTCTAGAGCCTGTCAAGGTCCCTCTGAACAGCAGCACAATCCTCTGCTGTGTTAGTCACTCCTCCCAAGTTTCTATCACCATTAAGCTTGCTGAACATGCACTCTCACAGGTCCCATCTCACAGGTCCCATCTCACAGGTCCCATCTCACAGGTCACTGATGAGGAGGTTAAACAGTCTTGGCTGCAGTATTGACCGCTGGGGTACACCACTAACAGCAGCTGAACCTCCTGGCATGGAGGGGATATAACCCATAACTGCGAGTTATCCTCACAGCGCTGGTGGAGCTGCTGTCACAGACCCCAGCACCTTCCTTTAGGAGAACAAAGGATTCGCTAGAAGAGACAGTGAACTGCATCTGAAATATTGTCCAAGTCTGCACCTTTGCTTCCAAAAGCTTCCTTGAGCACAGAATGGATTTTCTGGCTGGAAGGTAAGACATGAATGGTGGAGGCTCTACCTGGCGCAGGGCAGTTTCAGGTCTCTGCAGGTCTCCATCACCGATGAAGTCAGGCCAGGGCTCCGGGCAGACCTGGCCCAACCTTGGCCCAGGCAGTGGTGCAGGGCKGTAGCACTGCAGGAAAGCCACGTAATTCCAAGATCCCTGATGGAAGGGCCATGATCAAGGACCCCTTGAGCATACAGCTGGGACACAGTGGTGAGTGCCCTGCTCTGCTGCAGAGGGGAGGCTCAGGACTGTGGGTGACCTCCTGGGCCATGGTGAGGCTTTCTGGGCAGTATCTTACAGGCAGCAAAGGGGCTCCCTCCAGCAGATTCACAGCACCAGGACTTTCCATTTTTTATCTTTATAGGTTCCTACATCACCAAGAAACCACATTTTCATCACCACCAGTACAAATCCCCTGCTTAGCTTCCCTGCGGCCTGAATCAGCTCCTCTCAGGTACAGCCTGCTTAGAAAGAACGTCTGAGGGCCCTGACATAGGTAATAATTTGCTCCACTGCCCTTACACCTGCAGGGAGGAGAGCCTGGATCCCTTTTGCTCTCCTTCCCTGCATGTTTCAATCCTGCATTAGAATTCAGGGATCTGATGCCGCGGGCTACGGCAGGCACTGCCACTGCGGGTGCCGCCACTGYGGGTGCGAGCTCACCCTGCCACTGGGCAGATGCAAGCCCAGCGTTGGCTGGCACACACCTGGAATGTGCTTTGGTCAGGGCTAAAGGCCAAGAGCGCCTGCAAGACCTCACATAGACACCAGAGAAGGGTTTTGGAGAGAAGTTGGATTTTGACAAATTCCCAGTGAGTCCTGGAGAGGTCCTGCTTTCCCTGAGCAGGTCTGAGCAGCTCCAGGAACGGGCATGTCRCAGAATAATAAGTAGTTCCAGCTTGCATGGGAAATGCTGTAGATAAAGCATGGCAGTATTTTTATGGGAATAAATTACATAAAAAACCTAACTGTGAGCTTTCTGTTCCCTTAACTTTCAGCTCACATGTTAAYGTGTACATGGGGAAATGACAAATAAAGCCTGCGGCTTCGCGCTCCTTTTTACATGGCCAACGGATGGATGTTGTGGCTGCAGAGAAACAGTGCTGTGGCTAGCAAAAACCAGAGATAGCTTTGCTCATGGGAACTTCGTAACTTCTGCTCTCCAACCTGGTGTCTGCAATGAAGAAGCCACAGGCTGGGTAGTTTGTGTGTTCCAGTCCCTCTTGCGGTCTAGAGCAGCTGGGGGTGTTGAGTAGGAGTGATGGAAAATGCCCTGCATAATGCATCCCTGGAAGCCCTTGCAATATCCAGCTGAGGGAAAAAATTAGTCATTTACTCACAGAGCTCTTGCCACTGATGTCACTTGCTCGTGCCAGCAGCACAAAGCAATTAGCACCTCCAGAAATCCCCGCTGTGATGCCATTGCTCAAGGTGTCCTATGACCCGCCGCGGAGGGGGTATCTCTCCCACCTGCAGCCGTGCCCGTGCAGCACTGAGCCCCTTTCCGAGGGCACTGCCCTGGGCTCAGCAGCTGCAAATGCCGGAGGACCTGCCTGCTCTGGCCAGGCTGCTCCCRAGCCGCCCTCGCTGCTCAGGGCGTCCAGGCTGGGATGGGTGTCTGTCTGCAAGCTCCGAACGCCACCTGCTGAATCCTAGAGCCCTCTGCTGAAAGAAAGTGTCTGCAATTTAAGCAGTTATAAACTAATTTCTCTCAAGCTTTGCTCATTATTCCTGGAACAAAACGGCCTTTTACCACTTCAACCTCACCCAGACTGATGCGTGGAATTTGCTGGAGTGTAGAGGAAGGGTAAAAATGAAAACTGAAATTATTCAAAGAGGAAGATTGCATAGAAGGATGCTGCAGCAGGCACTGAGTCTTCTTCTAGGAAAGGTGGTGTCAAGGATTAGCACAGGAGGTACTGAGCTTTTGGAGCTCTTCAAGCATGTCGAACCAAATCTGTGACAGGAGGTCCCAAAACGCATTCCTCRAGGGCACAGCAGTGCAGGGCAGTTTGCACAGCAATGCAGGGAGGAGGATGGCAGGGATGCAGAGCGCTTTTCTCGCAGGCACTGGCGATACTGCTGCCTCCTCTGATCCCCTGAGCGATGCAGCTCACTGTGTGATACAGGAGCAGCATAAAGGGACCTCTGAGCATGTGTAGGGATATTGCTGTGTCCGTCACTCCAGGGGACGTGAGTTTACTCCAAGGTGGCAAGCAGCTCCTTGAGAGGGGTTTCCTTGAGAGATGCTTGTGTTTTTCCCGGAGCATAAGCATAGTGCCCCGGGGCTCGTAGGCATTCTCCTTACATTCCCGCATTGCAAGGACAAGCCCTGCTGAAGCCCATCTGCCCTCAGGTGTGGCCCCTGGGCCCGGGCACAGGAGGGTCCCTGTGGGACAGGACTGATGCTGAAGGGAGGGATGCAGGAGAGCTGCAGCAGCCGGCGGGCGGGCGGCAGAGCCCGGAGCCTTCCCCTCCCCATGGGCACGGGGCCGGTGCCAGGCAGAGCCCGTGCCGACGCCGGTGGCAGCACTGCCTCCCTGCAGACAATGGCCCTTTGGAAGCTGCCGGGCACATCTTGGGGCAGAGTCCCCAGCCCTGGGACGGCATGGAGCAGGATACAGCCCGCACGTCACAGAGACCCAGTGCGGAGCATTCTGACCTACAAAGAGCCTCTACATGGGAAGTGGTTTACAGCTGTGTATTTAGCCACCCAAAACAAAGCTCGTCACTAATAAGCATCTGAGCTCCGTGTGCAGCCTCTTCTTTTTCCACAAGCAGCTCTGCATCCCTCCCTGCTAGTGTCAGGTTCCCACCTTGCCATGAAGCAGAGCTCATACCTTCCACAGGGGCTTCCTGCATGTGCCATCTTAGAGGGGACTTTGGCACGGCAAGAGACACCCCGCAGGGAGCAGGGCCAAGCCAGGGCTCATTAACATCAGTTCTTCAGGAGGTGCCAGGATCAAACATTAGAGCAATACACCAGCTCTGGTCATGACAGCTCCTTATGTCTGGAACAAGCTAAAACCAAGCCCAGTGCTAGCTGTGAGGTCCTTGGTGCCGCCGTGCGCCCTGGCATGCATCACAGACCCAGGGCAGGCAGAGCCCACCAGCCTCAGCCCACCAGGCAGCGCCAGCCTTCGTCGCACAGACCTGTGGCCTTAGCCCTGAGCAGGGCAATGGGAAAGCTGTGGTGCTCACACTCAGAAAAGCCATCCTCCGTGTCCATCCCCATGCACCTGGAGCTCTGGARGCCACGTTCTATCCCAGAGGGTAGCTTGTCCCTCTGCGGGCAGCGTCTTCACTGAAGTCTTGTGAAGATCCTTGTC